GGCTGACTTGAAAATGTCCAGCCCCTCCAGAAGCTCCCTAACTAAATTCTCGCTAACCCTTGGCCCAGGTGTGCCTCCCCCAGGGCCAGAGGGGGGCCCAGCAGGGAGATGGCTGTTCTGGTCCCTACTTAGGAAGACGGAGGCAAAGAAATCGTTAAACATGTTAGCTTTGTCGTCTGGTGTGACGAACAAATTTCCCAACGTGTCCTGCAAGGGTCCCACATTACCCGGGACCTTCTTCTTACCCCCTATGTATTTAAAAAAGGACTTCTTATTGTCCTTAATCTGGGAAGCTAGTCCCAGTTCCATCTCTGCCTTGGCCTTCCTAACTACCCCCCTACATCCCCGAGCAACTGCAGAATAGCCCTCCCCGGTGATGACCCCTTCTTTCCATTGGGTGTAAGCCTCCTTTTTAGCAAGGAGACATTCCCGGATGCTTTTGGTGAGCCATGGAGGCTTGTGTGCTCTCCTGCTCCCTTTGATCCTGTTCTGTGTAAGTAAGGGGAAACACTGACATTGAATAGAATGTATACCCACAAAGAGGCAGATCATGACAAGGATGTTGAAGGCCCAAATTTATTTAACATTGCATTACTTTTTGCAATATTTTGGGTACTTAACTACACTCCTTTTGATTTTTTTTTAATGAAAGCTACGTGACTAAGAGTTAAGAAAAGCTTTGATAATTTATCAGGAAGATTCTCTGAAGTTCTCATGACATGAATTTATAAGACTGAAAAACACCATTGAATGGTTGGGCAGACGGCATATTATCAACATAACGCACATGGTAGAATTTTGAAAAGGAAATGGAAAATTAAATTTGAATGATGTAAATTAACAGTGATCGTGCAACTTAACAATTAGCCCTACCAGAGGCGCCGGGTATGTGGGGGCCCAAGGACCCTGTCCTTCCTTGGGAAGAGGGCTGTCACCTGAAATGTGTAAAACTTTCCACCTTTCTATCATATTACCCCCCCACCCCCAGAAAAAATAAATGTTGGCACCTATGAGCCCTGCATAAATTAAAAGAATTCAGTTAAGGTTGCAAAAAAGTGTTGAGTTTTGGGTTTTTCTGTAATTTCCTGGCAGAAATGGGCTTAGTTCATGGTTACATAGTCAGTGAACAGAATTTAGAAACTTTGGATTAAAAAAAAAACAACCTGTGGGCAGTCAGAGAATTTGGATTATGCCATGTTAAACACGCAGCTCTTCCCAATGTTATTTTGTACTAGATAGAGAATTTGCACAAATAATATGCTTTCTATCATAGAGGTGCTGTTAGTTAGAAACAAAAGATTCCATAGTCTTCCATCATTTTTAAACAATAGTAGTTGATTGCATTCTTTAATATGGATGATAAGAAACAGCATGATAAATTTCCACAGAAAATGAAAATAGTCTGACTTTTTAAAGAAAAAAATGTTTGTGATCCTAACAGAAACAAATCTTCTTTGTCCTTTCTGTGCTTTTCTTTGTGACCCAAATGCAATACTACTTACTGCTAAATAGCTATTAACCACTGAAGAAAACAGAACAGTGGAAGTGTCTTGGGCCATTTTATTTTAACTTAATCTAACACAGTATCATAGGATAGTAGTTGGAAGGGATCTCAAGAAGTCATTTTTGAGGCTCCTGCTCAAGGCTGCATGCTTAAGGCAGGATTATGCCTATCTAAACCATCCTAGACAAGTCTATGTCTAATGTGCTCTTAAAAACTTCCAAAGATAGAGATTTCACAAACTTTCAGAGTTGAGGGAATTATCATTAGCATAGAAACTTTTTGAAGACCATATTCTGATTAAAGTGGAGCTTGAAAATTTAGTGGTTTAATATAGAGGAGGCCTTTGCAATGCATACAGAAAGATGTTTACCATTTTGTTCAGTATATAACACTCCAAGAAAAAGGAGAAATGCTTTGAAGGCAGTGAGCTCAAAAGGGAATGAGAGGCAGGAAGAAAACAACTGCTTTAGAAACAGAACCCTGTCTATAATTGCCAGTGAGACTCAGGAGCGGAGAGGGGCCACAACATAGCAGGGGAGCATCCTGGCGCATGGTGCGGTGGGGGAAGTACCCTGTATGCAGTGTAGCGGGAGCTCCTGAGCACAGGGCACATCAGCCCGTGGATCTGGTGCATGCAATCCCATGCCACTTAGAAGCTGGGCAGCTGTGAGTTAATGTATAGGGTGCCATTCTGCCCTGCCTTAAATTTTTGGTTAGGGATGCTTTTTTCTTTAAAACGTCACATTTTATAAACTAATGATTAATGAATATTTCATATGTATGTCATATAAATTCTAATTCTATAAACTTGTTCTAATTGCATTATTCTAGTGACCAAAAAAATCTTACTAAAGTTCAAATGTTGATCTATCAAGCTTTGAAAAACTAGCTAAGACTTCTGAGATTTTAGTGTTGGGTTCGGGTAATAGACTGACATTCCAAAACTGTGGTATGCAAGCCTGTGTCAGGTGGTATAGGGGATTATAGTATAGAATTGAAAATAATCTTTTATAATTATGCTGTTTTTAGAATGATGAGAGGATTTAAAATATTTTAGAGTTTTAGAAGTGGGTAAAAATATAATCGGTTTTTCTAGAACAACAGTATATTGACTTTTTTTTTTGCAGAATCCCAAAACCTCTGAAACAGTGAAGCACATGCTTGATGAAGCAAATGGAGATGAACTACAAACATGTTTTGGTTCACGGATGGAGTTTGGGACAGCAGGCCTCAGAGCAGCCATGGGGGCAGGAATTTCTCAAATGAATGACTTGACTATTATCCAGACAACTCAGGTACTGGGTTCATTTTGTTTCTCTATTACTTACTTGATTTTTACTGATCTCAAAAAGCACAAAAATCTAATGAATGAACAAATAACTGGATGCTTTAAGCTGTAAAAAACCTGAATGGTGGCATTCAAAAAGCACACAATTTATTTATTTTTTTTAAGCCAGTGACATGCAAGGGAGTGATGTTGTTGCTGCTATATCTGGCTAGTTCTGACTTCTGAGATACCCATATACAATTAGAGACAGCTTTTAGCGCAAGTTTAGTTAGGGATTGAGGTAGTGCCTTTGGAGCTATAATGAAACATTTTAACTGCATGCTTAGCCACTTAACAATGCTGAATGAAAATAAAGCCATGCCTTGTGGTGCTGAAGTTCTCTCTTTATTTTGAGGCTGAGAAACAAAAACTGAATGTGTTGATTTGTGATTACCAGGGATCCTGGTTTTCTCTGATTAAAAATTGCAAATTCTCTGATTAATTAAAAACCCAAAAGCTGTGATAAAAATTAAAGGCCCCCCACAGCACCCTCCCAGCGCTCCTGGTGCCCCACACTCCCCCCCCAGTCTCAACAGCCCTTCTGATGCCCCTCGCAACAGACACACAGGCACAGACATGTAGACACAGATACTGACACCCACCCTAGCAGGTAAGTGTGTGTGGGGGGAAGGGGCGGGGTGGGGTGGGGGAAAGGGAAGGTGCTGGGGGGTAGATCAAGAAGTGGCAGAGTGTGCCCCTGTGCCCACTTCCAGGAGCAGGGCCAGGGGGTGAGGGCAGGGATGCCACTCTGTGGGCCACACATGTGCCAGCCGGCCTGACAGGAGGTTCGCACACAGAGGGTGCCACTGCAATTCTGCCACTGCACCCTGCGCTACCATCTCACGGTCACCTACATGGCTTTGTGGGCAAGTGGTGCAGAGCACGGCAGTGACATTGTGTTGGCAACCACTGTGTGGGCCATATATGTGCTGCCCAGTCGGGGGGTGAAACATGGAGCTTGGATACAGCGGCATGCCTTGCAACCGGCTCCACGGCGGTGCGAGGTGATGGCGGCTGCATGCAGGCTGAGGTACTTTGCAGGCAAGCGATCCTAGAGGCAAGTGGGGCTTGGGGAAGATGGTTGGGGGCTGAGGGAGTGGGGGGGTGCTGCCAGCCCCAGGCAGGACACCACAGCTGGGAGCAGAGCCAGGGAATGGGGCAGGGGTGCCCCTCTGTGGGGGTGCTTTGTGGACAAGCGATGCAGGGCGCACTGTGGTGGTGCCCACCATGTGCGGGCCACACACATGCTGCCTGGCCTTCTGTCCAGGGGACGGGGAGAGGGAGCCTGGCACGCAGCCGGAGGACAGCCCCATGGCTGACTCTGCAGCCGCGGCGAGGGGTCGGGGGGGGGGGGGGCCGGGGGGCTTGCCCGGGGGGGCCACTGCCACTTACCTGGGGGGGGGGGACG